GGTGTGGGTATGGTTGTGGGTGTGGGTGTGTGGGTGTGGGTGTGGATGTGGATGTGGTTATGTGTGTGGGTAATGGTGTGGGTGTGGGTGTGGGTGTTTCTGTGGGTGTGTCTGTGGGTGTGTCTGTGGGTGTGGGTGTGAGGTGTGGTTATGGGTGTGGGTGTGTATGGTTGTGGGTGTGGGTGTGGGTGTGGGTGTGGGTGTGGGTGTGGGTGTGGTTATGGGTGTGTATGGTTGTGGTTGTGGTTGTGGGTGTGGGTGTGGGTGTGGTTGTGGTTGTGGTTGTGGGTGTGGGTGCGGGTGTCTGGGGCCATGCGATGTACATGCGTGGTGGTATGATTGCACTCGAGTGATGTGGCAATGGTTGTGGTGAATACCATTGCTACGGTAAATTCATATATAGGTGGCTGGCCCTCCATGCTGTGGGTACTTCGAAGCCAGTGAAAGTGATAGAAAGAACACTCAATACAGCCGATAAGTGGTGGGGAACCGATGCGCACAGCAGGGTACTGCACTCTGGTACGATTCGTGACCAGTCCAGTTCGGTACAGCGTTCAATGGATAGGACAGAACAAACCGCACTCATCTAGCCATAGAAACGTCTGCGGAAATACGATAGTTATTCGCGGGAGCGTCTATACTGATACAGTCCGGCACAACCAGCAAGGAACTCCAATACCCCATGCGCCTATCAGCCTACTACGAGGATGGGCTCTGCAGGCAGAACAACGACCGTGGCCGCAGCGTAGAACGATACCGGTAGCCGCACACGTACCAGAGACGCGGGCCACAGCTATAGGGCGAGTCAACACATGCACAGACGCGGGCCATGGCTATAGGGCGAAGTAACACATACACAGACGCGGCCCACAGCTATAGGGCGAAGTAACACATACACAGACGCGGGCCACAGCTATAGGGCGAAGTAACACATACACAGGCGCGGGCCACAGCTATAGGGCGAAGTAACACATACACAGACGCGGGCCACAGCTATAGGGCGAAGTAACACATGCACAGACGCGGGCCACAGCTATAGGGCGAAGTAACACATGCACAGGCGCGGGCCACAGCTATAGAGCGAGTCAACACATGCACGGATGAAGACACTCCTGCGCACGCACCAGAACTCGGCTGCAGATGCAGCACAAAGTCTCTGTATCTCATCAATACAAAGTCTGTGTATCTCATCAATACAAGGTCTGTGTGTCTCATCAATACAAAGTTTGTGTATCTCATAAATACAAAGTCTGTGTATCTCATCAATACAAAGTCTGTGTATCTCATCATTGTGACATAGGCCCCGCAGGGGGTTGGGTGGGTTGACCAGTGCCGGCTCTTCGTGCACTACACATACGCTATACACGCCGCATGCACACAAACTCAACCAACACGAACCACTCCCTGACTCAATCCATACCTACAACATCGTCCGGGGTAGCCCTGGCCATCCCATCGCGGTTCTTGCCGTTCGACATCACCTCACAGTTGTCCTTCTCTCCAAGCATGAAGCTCGGGCGCGTCCACAACTTCACACTGCCGGCCTGACTAGTGGTGATGATGCACGTGCGACGGAACAGTATGTCGGTCAAGGGGTAGACATCGACCACACGCGAACAAATGGGCTCAAAGGTGGGGGCCATATTACGGGGCAATGGTGGTACCGGTATTGCTATGTCGATTGCGGTACAGGTGTTCAGCGTGGAAGCGCCTTTCTGTGTCGAGGAATGGGGCCGGAATGACGGCGATAATGGCGGTTTATATTTTCTTGCATTCGCTGTGTATGTACGCATCGAAGATAACCATGTATGAAAGTGAATACAGTCAGGCTTATATATATATATATATATAAATAAATGTATATATATATATATAATGTATATATATACATATACATACACACACACACACATATATATATAGTAAC